AGCCATATTTTTTTTCTTTCTTTTTTTAAACTTGAACTTGCAACTGCAAGCCTGTATGGTGCAAATAGTGCACACCATTTTGAACACGTGCATCACACCAAGCAAATGGAGTCGAGGGTGCGTCGAGCTGCTCCATGAGCCAAGCTGTGTGCTATTTTGCGTCATTGACATATATATGACATATCCTCTATCACATTGAGATGTTTAAGCTTACTTGATTAATGTGATCAATAAGCAATTCCTATCATTTCTATCATTCAATTCCATTTTTATCATTTCATTCCATTTTTCATCTTTTCTACCACATTGAGGAGATTTTCAGGACCTCCATATCTTCAATGTCTTATTTACCACATTGAAAGACATCAAGGCTTTCTTGACGATAGATGACCAAGTCATAAGTCCCACTTTCAACATCTTTTATGCCACATTGCGGAGATGTTTAGGCCTCTTTATTCATATGCGAACAAGATGTAAATCACACTCAAATGTTTTCTCTATAACATTGAGATAGATTTCCAGATCTTGCATATCAGTTCAATCTTCTCTATCATATTAAAAAGATATTTGGACATTCTCAATCCCATATTATTGACGTATAAGCTCCACCTTTGGTGTCCTCTTCACCACATGGAGAAGATGCTTTTCTTTCCAACCCCTTGGTCTTAGAGCCTAAGTAACATGTCAGTCTTGGCATGTACCAACATGTGGTATAATAAGTCTAATATGTGTTTCTCCCTCGTATAGCAGTAAAGTGTAATTTATGTTTGTTAGCCTAGTCCACACCTTTAGTTTATTAGATCCTCTTGGATAAGTTAATCCATAATTATTAACAAAGATTATTAAGTTGTCACATGACTAAATAGAATAAGGGCAGCACTAACAAAATAGAGATGATAAAACCATAGGATCTTGACCAAGAAAATAATTGATACTCATAAGGTTAGTCCTCACTTTCCTTCATCTGCTCATTCATTTTCTCCTGGTCAAGTGTCGTCAAATGGCATCATAGGTTCAATATTGGGCATCTCCCTATAGTCAATGTGTAGCTATAAATCCCTCTATTACATCCATTTTGGTGCATTTGACCCTACCTTCCTTGGATCATAGGATGCTCCTCCCTTCATCTTCTATTAAGTCCCCCTAAAGTTCATTTTGACTTTTTGACCTAACCAACCCTACACTGATTAGACATAATTTGATCACAAGAGTTGACTCCTTAGTCAAGGTGTCCTCGAACATGCCCAAGATGTAATTAACCTTAGGAGCTTGCTCTTTCAAGAAAACTATGCACTTATGTTTAAAATAAATTTTAGTTGGAGTCACATTCCTTGCAAAAGAAATCTCTAAGAGAAATGCACTTAAACTATCGTACATTGATCCTCGCGAATCTATAGAAAGCATTGATCAACGACAACCATTCCTCTACCATAGCATTGCAAGCATCTTTCGAAGCACACATAGAGCTGCAATAGTAGATGCAAATAAGACCACCACAGCAGTTATGAAAGCATACCGAGAATTTTGCTATAGAAATGCAAAAGGCACATTTAAGAATCCAATGGCCATAGGAACAAAAAACTATGGCTGTCACAAATACCTACGATGAGCAAACAAGAGTCGATCCAAAATAATATTGTCTACTGACCCATTTAAGCTTAAAATCCAAAAAAAACTTGCATCGTCCAAAATTTTGCTGCAAAAATAAGCTACACCAAATAAATTAATGATGAAATTACTAACTTTATCAAGCATTAGTGATGTAGACACACAAGAAGAAACTGACGCAATGGATAGAACTTAAAATAAACTTTATTAAAATAAAAGCAGACAACTAAAACTTGACAAACACAACAAGAAATACTAGGAGATTTTAAAGAAATAAAAAAAAACGATATCCTCAAACAACCGTCAGAGCGGGTTCCTCACATGCATCGAATAGTAGATTAAATAAGAGAAGTGCATAAGACTAGCAAACTGATGGTCCACCACTGCAAGACTGTCCCAAATGCTTCCAAATCAACCAAGACACGACACCCTAAAGTTGCTTCACTGTTGAGAAGAAGGATACAGATGGAGTGGCACTTGCGGAGAGACGAAGAGGTTAGAAGCCCGAGAAGAAAGGGTGGAAAGAGCCCGCAGGATTTCCGTAGGGGATGAGAAAGAATGGTGGAAAGAGCCCGCAGGATTTCCGAATAAACCCGCAGGTTAATAGCACATATGCTCACAAATATCAACTGCCTTCCTTTACAATATCATCTTATATTTATAGGCAAAGAACAGGAATGCCAAAAGCCAATTGAGATAATGCTCACAACATCCCAAGCATTTATTTTCCAAAGGATTTCCAAGAGCCATTTCGGAAAAACAGCCCAGCAATTCACGGAACCAAGGAGCCAGCAAGCAGGCCGAGAATTCAAAGCAGCACAGCAACGGGAAAATACATCCCAGCTCGGAAAAAACAGAGGCCGGGCGGACTCCCAAGAGAAAAGCACTCCATTATAAATTCTAATGCTTTGAATTCAGCCACCAATTAAAGAGCAAGCCACGGTTCTCCGAGAGACAAGAAGAAAAGGGGAAGGGGAAGGGACAAGGCCACTCCAAAAGTAAATCTTCTTAATGAGGTACCTTTTTGGATATTAATGAGCTACTAAACTTCAGCTCAAGCAACTAAAAGAACAAGCTCAACGCCATGTGCTCCAAAACAGCCAACCCGAGAACCAACAGCCAACCCGTGAACCATCAGTGGCGAAGGACCAATCGAGCTAGCAAACCAAAGGTCTACCAAGCCTTATGCACAATCTACCATGATCATTGGATGCTTTCCCATCATTGGATAGCTAAAAAAGAAAATAAAATAGAAAACAAAATATACTATTGTTCAAATAAAATAAAAAGTACATAAATTCTTGATAGCATCAATTAGGCCCAAATAAATAACTCTAAATGCCAAAATCCAAAAAAATAGCTCCAATAAGGAAACTAATGCATCAACTCCTAAATCAAATGAGTCCAATAGTTAAATCACTTCAATAAATAAATTCCATAAAAATTAATCAATGGGACCAAAAACTCAAGCAATGGAATAAGTAGCAATGTTGATCCCATCATTTGAGCCAAACCAAACAAAAGTGAACCAAACATAAAAACTTTACAATAGAAAACAATACATCCAATTATTACAGATACATATAATAAGCATATTTAATTAAATGAAATTTTAACTTTCGGATTGCTTTTAAGGCATTTTTCATTAATAAATTCCCAGGAATATTGATGCAACTTAATTCTCTCATTAATGTTCTTTAGATGAACTGCTATATGAAGGAATGAAAAAAATCAATATCAGTCGGATCATTTTCATAGAATTAATAGCAACAAATAATTCATTAAGAGTTGTATTTTCAAATTGCTCGATTGATTCATCATTAACAATAAATATGCTTGATCAATTTCACCGTATGGAATAAACTCATATTCTACTCAAATTCTATTAGAATTACAAGTTTTGATATGATTGCATGCTCCATTTCAATTTTAGTCGTAATTTCTAATATTTGTTCAAATAAAGATTCAAGTTCATAAACGTGATATATTTTAAGCATATGGATTTGAATGCAACTACAATATGTATTCTATATCTAATACATCCTCAAAAGAATATTCATGAACTATGTTCCCTTCAATAAAATTATATTCAACTAAACATGATTCTTATTATTGGTGTATGTAGTTGGATTCAGAGGAGATTGCACGAATTTTTTGTTAGGAAAATAAATCATAGAAGCAATAATCCAAATAGAATGATCATAATATGTTTCAATATTTAAAGATCTTAAAAAAACTCAGTAGTGTTTTTGGTGAATATTAGCTCAATTAATTCCTAAAATCTTGCCAAAAACACTTAAATAAGTAGTGATAAAAAATAAATAAATAAAAAAGAAACGATAATAACATGACTTAGTGGCAACCCATGTGTAGCATAAGACATTTAAAAGTTGCATAATATTCAAATATGCTAGAATCACTTTATTTACGATACTTAAATTGTTTGCAATTGGTCGCTATACTCCCTAAAAACATATTTTGCTTTTTAAGTTTTTCTCGTATCTGACTACGTTGATTTGGTTTCATTTGCAACATTTAAATAATAAAGCATGTCCTACTACTTCTGTTTAAATAAGTTCAACATTTTTTGGAATCAAGTAGATAGTAATGTTCAAAGAAGTCTTCCAAATTATTTATCCCCTTGAAGAATTTTCTAGGCCAAATCTCTCATTAAAAATATAGGAACCCCAAGATGATTACGTTGTATTTGTCTAAAACTATAACTTATCCAATGTTGTTTAAATTGCATCATTTATTAAATTTTGCATTGAGCCAATTAATGTCTTACTCATGGTTGGCATGACAATGCAACCATAAGTCTGATACTAATTTGACACAAGACATCTTAAGGTCTAGCATTTCAAATATAATTAAATAATGCAAGGAATGTAAATCATAAAAAAAAAAAAGAAATTATAATTCATAGAACAAAGGCCACCAAATAAAACACAAAATTTGCATCTTTTAGATGTAAATTTGAAATTACGAAAAGCTCAAACCAAATGTTAATGCGATAATAAGTTAAATAAAAGAAACTTGAAGACAAAAAAAACATTGTCGAGATGATTGAAATTTTCCAGTGTAATTGAAAAGCAATTAAGGACTAATTCCCTGCATATAAAGCTCAAAGCATACCTAAGGAGCTTCCTGTCTAACAAGAGGCATCAAGAACTGTAAAGTTCATTTTCTAATGATATGAATGTTAAGATATAGTGACAGTAATTAAGATAAAATATAAGTAGACCTATAGCCAGTATTGTCCATGTAATGAATAGCCCAGAGAAAACAGTCTAAAAATAGGTTTTGACTGCAAAAGCTTGAATCAACTAAAATCAACTGTAGATAGAATATTCATATCGACCCTTTGTCAAACATTAAAAGTAATAGCCTACCTGAAGCTTTTCAAGTGTTTTGGATAGAGATGAAAATATCCATACAATGAAGACAGCATCCAAGAGAGCAACAGGTAGAACCAGGAATAGCCTCGCTTTTCCAGAAAAGTCGTTGATATTGCCCAAGTGTTCAACAAGCTCAAGGGCCTCTGAGGCAATGAAATATACAACACCAAGAAGGATAACTTTAGAAGTTATGCCACCCAATGTCGGCCTTACAACACCATAACCCATTGAAACCACCAAAAGAAGCATCCTAGAAACAGTTTTCTTGACAGCAGTAAAAGTCACAGCCCAAATGGTAATGCCCATTGGCCGGCTTCCAGAGTCATTAAAATTTGCATACTCAAAGAACCAGAATGCCATCTCACACATGCCTAGTGCAATTACAGCTGTAATATGGTAGTGAAGCTGCAATGTATCTTTCCAGAACCGCACAAATTGGAGAAACCAAACAAGACCAAGTGCAAGATATGCTAATGACATGAAACCATGAAATGTCATCAATGGTGCCATTTTACCAGGCAGATAACCTCCTGGATTTCTCCAAACAGTTCTTCCACTGATTGTCAAACCTTGTAGTTGCGGGTCACAAAACATAAAATAGAGATAGTACATTCCGGTTTTTTCTATAGGAATATTTTGAGTGATCATAGTTGCTTCCTCATTTGTACCATCAAAAAACGTCTGTATGCGTTTTGGCCATTGGGCATTATCAGGATTTGGATGAATAATTACCTCTGCTAACTTACAAGATTTATCCTTGTTAAGTTGTGGAGTGCAGCATATGTCTTCAGAATTTAAAAAGGCCCCACCAATTCGGTCTCTGTCCTGAATTTCAAGTATTATGGCTTCCACCAAACCAGTGCTTGATTGCATATCATGATGCATCGATGCTGATTCTTTTGTTCGACGAAAGGTGACAGAGTCAAATCTAAAAAATTCAAACAGAAACCAGTTTTCATAGCTGGAAATACTGCAGTTGCAAAGAAGTAAAATTCTCAATGTAAACAATAACTGGCAAAGAAGCTTGGGAAGAAAAAAGAAAGAAGCAATTGGGTTATCAATTCCAAATGATCATACCGGCACGTTTAAATATCAACATCACCAAAATTAGCCTAATGAGGAGTATTTGTTGTTAAGTTTACAAATCCTTGTTTGTTGTTTAATCTTATTGAGTGTTGCATGTGATTTTAACTCTACTTTGCATGACTATGTTTGCATTCTTAGCAATTTTAGCATTGGTACCGCTTCTTTGTTATGCTTCATTCACATATATTCCATATCCACAAAAATTGGTGCAATTTTTGGTCTGCATTTTGCATGACAATATATAAGTATGCTGCTCTACAATAAAATTATTGCGTGTTCTATCCTTCCTAGTTTCAACATAATCTATTTTAGCAACTGTCAAATCATTTAAACTCTAATCATTTTTTGACAATCTGGCTCTAGTCACACTACCTCATGATTTCACATTATCACTAGCTTGACCAATCTATTTGTTGACCCCATGAGCCCTGAAATGTGAAAGCTCAATCTTGATGATAGCAGATATAAATTTGAAATAATAATATCCATTAGTGATTTCAATATTTGAAGTTTGCACGCAATTTGATGAAACAGAATAGATCATTTGATGATTAATGGAAGCTACGAATAAGATCAAAAACTCCAAGTTAACATTAATTGGAACTCCGGTCAAGTTCATGAAGAATTAGGTGATTAAAGTCATTAGATTAATAGGTCAATTAGAATTGTAAATTGAAATTTGATTGCCTTTGGTTCAGGCTCCCATGGCAAAAATGAATTTAGTTGATATCCAAAAATTATTTTTAATATTTTATACATCTTGAAAATTAGTTAAACAAACTTCATAAAAAATTCTCGCATTAATTTGATCATGATATTATTTCTGCTAAAAATACTTCAAATATGATTCACATATTATTAAAAATATAGTTGTTTTGTGCATTCTAAATTTAATTTTATCATCATTGAATTTAGAAATTTTTTACGTGTGAAATAATATATGATATCATATATTTTTATTTTAAATCCATTAGTTTATAAAAAGAATTAAAACATTAGAATTATTACAATTCTACTATTGTATATTCAACAATAGCCTTGCCCACACCATTTGCGTTAAACATTAATGACATAAGTACAAATTGTCCAAGTCACTAGCGCAAATCATCTGCATCATTGGTACATACGCAAACCAGTCGAATATAAACGGATGACACAACCACACGTTGCTTTTTTACATTCATATGCATTGAGGCTCTCTGCACATATAAGCTATGCAAATGAAGCAATTGCTTAGGAAAAATAATGACCTCAAATTTTTATATTAGGCCTTCATTTTTCAAGAGGTAGATCAGGTTTAATTTAATCAAATTTCTCTTGATGTTTAGATCAGAGTTTTAGATCAAAAGTCAAAACATCCTATAGGGGTGAACCCTAATAGTTAATTTCCCCTCCCACTTGCAGGAGAGCACTCTCAGTTAATGATAGTTACATAGGCTTACTTTTAGGCTAAGGCTTAACATTTGGGTTTCAAGTAAATTGATGGAAGACATTTAAAGAAATTGGGCAAAACTTGATCAACATCCTATGATTTCATCCTAGAAACACCAATGGTCCTAATTTAGTAACGTTAGAGAATCATAAGCCTGAATGTCCATGAAATTTGATTAGCAACTACGGGTTCCTCCTCTCATGTATCTTGAGCAAATCAGGGTGAATGTATGATTTTTTATTTTAATTAGTTGTCTTATTAACATAGGAGCTAACTATGGCCTAGGTTTAGGGTTTACATCCTTTAGAATGTTTGAATTAATTGAGATGGGGCTTACTAATCTATCAGTGAACTTGTAAGGTCTGGGCCTACAATCTTAGCATGGTGAGCCACTTCACCCATCAACTTTAACACACATTTTATCCTTAATGCCCATTAGATTAATTATTGGTATGCTACAACACATGCCTTTTTTCTCCTCCATCAACTTTAACTAAGGCATCAGAACTTCCACTATCGCTCTGACCTCTGCCTTAAGCCCCTTCATGAAATTCCTCTCCAACACAATATCTGATAATCGCTCCACCCTTCTGGCCAAGTGCTCAAACCGCTCACGGTAGTCTACTACTGATCCCTCCTGCACCAGGCAAAGATCTGCTCATAGAAATCTCCTCCCCGATCGATTTGGAAACATTCTATTATGTAATCTTTGAATTCGCCCCAGCTCCTGATGGGTCTCTTTTGGTCTCTCCACTAGTATCATGACAGCGCCTTCCCCTACAAACATAAGCCTGATGCTGTCAGCTTCTCCTCCTCCATTAGCCCATTGATGGTGAAGTACCTCTCCACCTTACAAATCCATCCATACGCATCCTCCCCTTCAAAAATATGGGCATCTTCAACTTCCTCACCTTCTGATCTCCCATGTTTCCCCTTATTCCTCCATACCTTCCCCTCTCCCAAGTGCTTGGCCCTCCCCACGTCTCCAGGTCTTCCCTTGACCTGTCATAACCCAAACCCCCTTCAAATTCCCCTCTCCTTCTTTCAAATTCAGCACCTCGACGGCCATAAGATCCCTCCCAGCGTTCCCAATCAGCACCCCTTTGCTCCGCTCCCCCATACCCATGCCTTTCCCCATACCTACCTCCTCTATCCTCCCTCTAGAAAGGTTCCAAATAGGGTTTTCTTCTTTCTCCCTCCACGATCTCCACCTCATCTTCCTCCCAATGAATTTCAGAATTCGTCTTCTTCCCTTCTAAACCCTTTTGCCACTGAAGCCGCCGTTTGGTTGTGGATTTCTAACATTTTCTTCATCATGTCTCGGAGATCGGCTACTTGTCCTTCCATAGAGGAAATCCTGTCATTCACCGCTGTCTTGATTTGGTTCATCTCCCCTTCAAGTCTTTCTTTTAGCACATCCACTTTCTTGACCGTCATCTCTATCCGGATTTTTGTAGATTCAAAAAATCTAGATACTGATCACAAAAATAGCAACTTTTCTCCTTCATCGGCCAAAATTCAGCCACTGAAATTTGCCAATATCAACCCACCAACGGTCCCAAGACTTTCTCTAATACCAATTTGATAGGAAATACTTGAGTTTGCAAGTAATCCAAGAGGAAATACTTGAGTTCGCAAGCAACCCTAGCAATAATTGGTAAAAACAACGAGAATAATGCAAAAATCTGGATGAAATCAATCCAAAACGATAGATTGTAATGATGGAATCAAGGCTAAGAAAACACAAAGCAAGATACAATTGATCCTCAATTCGAGAGGAGGATCGTTCTCTCCCAATCTCTAGACGATGAGTCTAGAGCCCAAGACGCCAAGGAAAACTCCAAGAGAATAACTCAAAGCATGCATACCCTAACCCTAGCCTTCTCTCATCTTTTAATACATATCTTCCTAATAAAAAACAATAAAAAGCTTCCTAAAATAAACCAATATTCAAATAGTTTCCCTATGCAATTTCCGCCCCCTTCTCTCTCTCTCTCTCTCTCTCTCTCTCTCTCTCTCTCTCTCTCTCTCACTCTCTTTTCCGCCTTAGGGGGACCCACAAGCTTGGGCAGCATTCAAAGGAGGCAGCTTAGCCCGCCTCCTATAGGTTTGAACCGGCCCAGGTTGGGCCGGTTTGGACGGTTCAGGAAGAACCGTAATAGTCCACTAGTTTTTTCACACTTCAATTTCTTTATAAAGCCTCTCTAACTTCAGTTTTACAAATACATCGATAAAAATAAAAATCTCTCTTATCATTTAGAGTGCTAAGGTCGCTAAAGTCAACCATATTCTCACAATCTTCATTGAAAAACTTAGTAAAATATCTCATCCACCTTTGTTAAATATACTCTTCTAAAAAAACAATTTTGATCTTCATCCTTAATGCATGTCACTTGAACTAAATCCTTACTACTCCTATCGTTTTGTTTGGTTAACTTATACATATATCTTTTGGCCTCTTTAAAATCTAATCTATTATAAAAATCATTAAAAGTTAAAATCTTTGCATCGCAGATTGCTTTCTTAGACACCTTCCAAGACTCTTTATATATCTTCCAATTTTCAAAAATTTTACATCTAAACAAATTATTATAACAAAGTTATCATAACTATAAAAATTTTTATTATTATCAAACATGGGTATTATAATGCTCCATTTATATTTGGGAGTTCCCTTATTCTCCATAATTCTATTTATAATATATATTAATCAAATACTCCAAATCTCCTATAACTATCTAAATCCGAATGGAAGATTAAAAAATTTTATCATAATGCAACTTCTTTATAGCTAATTTACTTCTTATTTTTTTCTTGGGTAACTTGATTATTCCTTCTGGACTGCAATTCGAGAGGAATATACATCTTAAAGTTTATTTGTGATAAATTCTAAAATTAGCATTACTATTTTTCCTTAATATCTTCATAATCAAACAAAATCGTATCATAAATACAATTCTCACTTTCTCAATTGAATATTGCATGGGATTTTTTAAGAATTATAACATAAGATCTAAAGTACCCAAAATATTACTGTTAAAATTGAACAAGATATTACCTTGTAAAGTTAAAATTATTATGTGCAAAAACTTCAAATTACATGCATAGTACAACTCTAGGGGTATGCACCAGAATAAAACTTTGATTCACACAAAGGTCTACCAGATCAACCTCAACATATAGGTCACATGAGAACCTATGCAAGATTCCTCATGATTCATAAAGTATGATTTTAAGATTTATTCCTTTCCTTATGGTGTGTGCATGACTTCTTAAATGGTCAACATCTATTATATATCTAGGAGATTTCTCATTAAGGTTTGCAAGCCAATTTTAAAGGCTTCCATGACATATCCTCTTGGATATAGTTTTGTGAGACTTAAGGAACAAATACATATGGCCAAGATTTC